TAAAAAATAATAATTTTTTAAAAGTTATTTCCACCAGGCGTGGTGGTGCACGCCTTTAATCCCAGGTCTAGGGGAAGCAGAAGCAAGCGGATGTCTGTGAGTTTAAGGTCTACACAGTGAGTTCCAGGACAGCTCAGTCTACAGGGAGACCCTGTCTCCAAGAGAAAAAAGGTATTTCCATAGACATGTGCATTGGGGGAGGGGTGGAGGAACAAGGTCTCAAGGTCCCACTTCAAACTAGCAGTACTTGTGACTTCCTCCTCTTGCCTCAAGGCTAGTTTCAAACCTGCTAAGCAGCTGAAGATGACCCTGAACTCCTGACCCTCCTGCTTCTACCTCCAGAGTGCTAATTTCAGGCATGTCCCATAATGGGGATAAATAAAACAAGCACTCACAGACTAAACTATGTCAGCCCATAGTTGGTTTTATAAGCAATGGCCTAAAATGTCTAAGCTACTTTAACTCTACAAATATATGCTATGAAATGCATAATGAATGTTCAATAATATTATATCTACATGGGGGGGAGGGGTTCAAAGCCAGCCTGGTCTACATAGTTCCACAGTTTCAGGCCACCTGGGGCTACAGTGAGACCAGGTCTCAAAAAGACCGAAAAAAAAAAAAAACAACTGGCTTCAAAGATTAAGAAGAAGCCGATAGGTTATTTGATCAGGCCCAAGACTAAAGTAAATTGAGGAGGCATTGAGAAGATTTAAAATATTTTTAATGAGATACATTTAACATACAAAATACCCTCTCTTTTTGTGTGATTTTTTTTCTCCTTAATTTGAGACTGAGTATTCATTTTTTACATGAATTATCTCGCTTTGATCTCACTTGTTAGATTATGGGCCTTCTCCTAAGAGTGTGACTTAAAAAGCCGGATTGCACAGCCTGAAGGGATCAGGCCATAGCTCGATGCAGCTACTTTTGGGAGAGTTAGGAAGCAGTTTGTGCTGTGTCTTGACAGCTCTCAATTTATGGCACCTGGCTCCTCCATGCTCTTTGTCAAGTAGACTATCCTGAAATAAATCACATGATGCAACACTTCCCACCAGCCTCCCAAAACTTGTAAAAGTCAGATTTTTCCTTTGTTCCTGGGATCGGTCCCAAGATTTTTCAGGGGAATTTGCTAGGGGTAGTGATCTGAAGGCTGCTAAGCACTCTGACGGCTTCTCTGGCCCTCCCCATCATCCTTCTCATGGTGGCCAGCTCTCCCTCTCTCATTCTCACTCTTCTTTTTGAAGTTAACTCTTCAAATATGTAAAGCACCCTCTCTTAAAGTATATGAGTCCATGGTTTCTAGTATACTCAAAAAGTTTTGTAATCAGTACCACTCATTTCGCCCAAAAAAAAAAAAAAAGGTCTATTAGCCTTTTTTTTTTTTTTCTGGTCACACCACTTTACTGAAAGGCAGGGTTCCAACATCTGCACAGCTACAACTGGGTCTCCCAGAAGGTTATTCTATTTTTTTTTCTGTTTGGGTGTGTATGGTGTATGCATACATTTGAGTGAGGGTATGGGTACCCATGTAAACCAAAGAGGGCAGAAGAAGTCAGATGTCCTCCTCTATCACTCCCTGCCTTATTCCCTGGAGACAGGGTTTCTCACTGAACCTGGAGCTAGGCTGACCACCAGAAAGCCTCAGCAATCCTCCTGTCTCCACCTCCCACAGGGGTTATAGGCACAAGTGACCATGCCTGGCTTTCCATGTGGGTGCTGAGGATTTGAGCCTCATGCTTGCAGAGCTAGCTCTCTTAACCACTGAGCCATCTTCTAGTCCCCTAGAACAGTGTTACCCCCACCTGAAAAATTACACACCCATTAGCAATATTATATGTCATTAGCAATTATCCCCTCTCCAACATGAGAAACCACTAACTTAATTTTTGAATTATCCAATTTACTTATCATAGATACTACACATGAATGCAACCACTTATACAGGATGTGCCCCTTAGTGTACGGCTTCTTCCACTTAGCAGATTTTCAAGGGTCACATGTTATAGCATGTATGGATACTTAACTCCTTTTGATGCCCGAATAAGATTTCACTGTGTGGACGTAAATTTTGTTTATTTATCACTTGAAGATATGGGTTTGGGAGAATACTGTAAATAATGTAACTTAAACCAGCATGCAGAAGATTTGGGTGAACAAACCCTTTCATTTCTCTAGGGGCTATGACAATTGTTTGACCATGTACTATGTTTAGCATACTGAGGAACTGCCAAACCCAAGGTAGCTCCATCATTTTACTATTCTAATATATACAATACACATACCAATTTTTCCATTGCTGTACTATGTATTTTAGGCCAGCCACCTAGCACAAGAAGTGGCATCCCATGACAGTTTTGGTTGTTAATTAATATTAAGCACTTTCCATGTGCCTGTGATTGAAGCACTAAGAGTCTGAGATAGACTACTGTTAAGTTCAAGGTCAGCCTAGGCTACATTATGAGATCCTGTCTCAACAAACAAAAACCACCCCCAAAACTGGTTTTGCATAAAGCGCCAATGAGACGTTAAGTGCATCAGTAACTATTCAACACAGAAGTTCGTGTTGTTGTGTATGTGTTATAATAGATGCATACTACAAAGCAGGACTATGTGCAGCATTGATTTCCAATCTGATAAATATTCTATTTAAGATAATATATTTTGAGTAATAAAAACTTAACCTTTCCTTTATTCAGGACACCAATGAAATTGCATAATATAATCACATTTAGGAAATTGGAAAGAACGGTACTTTGCATGCATGCAAAAATGTCACCATACTGTAAAGCATTAAGGCAGAAGACATCTGCCAGGACTCTGGAAGCCTTCCATTCTTTTTTTGTTTTGTTTTTGAACCATTCAGCCCGAAGTTTCAAAACAAATTTTAAAAGATGGTATAGGCATAAGATTTGGGTAACAAAAAGATTTATATGCTAACGTAGCAACACTTGACACTCAACACTTGACACTTCCACCTTAAAAGAAGGTTCTAAAGGGCCAAATGAGGCCGTCATATTCTAATTTCCAGAACAGGAAGTGTCAGGTTTCTCCCTTGAAAAATTTACAAACAATTCTATTAATACAGACATGGGAGAAACCCCAAAACATAAATGTTTCTGCGTTTCTAATGAAAATACAGGAAGTATAGCATTTGTGGCTGAGAATGTAAATTCAGTGGTAGAGCACTTGCTTAGCACAAGCCAAGGCCTTGTGTTTCATCCTCAGCAACACAGAAAACTAAATGAAAACAGCATTAGATTCTAAACATTCCTGAAGGAGCTGGCAAACAATTTTCCTTTTTTTTAAATTTTAGAACTATTTTAACAATGATAACGTAGTGTGTTTCTCTACTCTCCCAAACCAAAATGTAGCAATTATTTTTCACTCCTGCCTGGAAATTTCTCTGCACAGAGATAAGCAGATGGTATTTACCACCTAGTGTTAGCCAAAAGGATATGAATTCAAACTTAGAAGTCAGAAGGCTTTTGGAGGTTATTTTCTTTAAAAGAATCTTGGTTTCCCAAGGGGCTTAAGAGTTTTCAAAGAACCTGCTTTCTAACACTCCAAATGAACACGATACTCTCAAACCAGTCTGTTAAGTACACAACAATCTGCCTAAAAGTTCTAATCCAGCAGTCTATTACATACTTTTTAGTATCTAGAATTTTTAAAAAATATTTTATTATTCTTATATTATGTGTATGCCTGAGTGTAGGTAAGTGCACCTGTGTTGTGCTGCAATGCTGGAAGAAGACAGAAGACGCTGTCGGATCCCCTGAAACTGGAGTTACAGAGACTTGTTAGCTGCCGTGTGGGTGCTGGGATTCGAACACAGATCTTCTGCAAGAACAACCGGTGTTCTTAACTGCTGAGCCATCTCTCCAACCCCAGTATCTAGAATTTAAAGTCTCATTATAAACTCACAAGTTGGGCAGACCTAGCTTGCTGCTATTACAACAGGAGACATAGTTATTTCTGAGCTTTTACATCCCTTCTGCACTTCTGCTGTCAGTGCTATTAAATACATAGCACTTACTCTACACTGAATGAGGATTTGTAATAAATACTGCAGGGAGGGGAAATGACAAACACTATTTCTAGATATCTGCAACTAATGTGATTTCTATTGAGGATAGTCACTTATACTGTGATTTGTTGCTTATATTCATAACTGAAGGAAGTGTTTGTCTTTTTAAAGAGTTTCGAGAAATTAGTATCTTTTCCACCCCCAGTTCACGGTTCACCTAAACTTTATGAGCTCAATTAAACAACTCGATCAGTTTCACATTTTGAAAAAAAAAAAATAATAATGTAGGTCCTTATTCTGGCACATTCATACGTGTAAAGCAAGGTCCTGAGTCTTTACTACGTGGAACATTTCTTCGACTCACCCTTAATACGAAGTTTCTAGGATTTGGGGGTTTTTTTGTTGTTGTTTTTTTTTCTATAATTCACTTAAGGGTGGGTCAATTCAACTAGATTTAGAACACACATTCAGCCTTCCATTAAAAACTATACTTTTTCTCACCTTGAGAAACTTTCACCATAGAGTAGAAAACCACCACTTTTCAAATTCTCCATACCAAGACGGCTTATAATTACTAACCTCTTAGTAAGTCACAATCTATTGTCACTAGATCATGACATCTAAGCTCTACGTCCCTTAACTCACTAACTTGTGTTACAAGACTGTTTTTAAGATAGAGATTTGAAAAGAGGTCCTTCGTGGATTTTAAAACTCGGTGTTTTATGGGTAACCGACTCACCACCGGCCTGGCCAGTCTCGCCGTCCCGTGGCCCCCGCGGTGCAGGACAGGACGAGGAGACAGGAGAGCGCGGTCCCTGGAGCCCCAAGCAGGGCCGGCAAGAGGCGGGCGGGCGGGCAGAGCGGGAGCAGGCGGGAAGCAGCGCGAGGAGACGGAGGGGCCGCCCACCTCACAGCCCGACGCAGAACCCGCGTGGAGCCCAGCCCGTCCCGTCCCGGGTAGGGAAGTCACCTGAAATGCCCGGCCAGGGAGCAGCGGCAGCACCACACCGGCATGGAGCGCTGCGTGAGGGGCGGCCGAGCGCGGATGCCGCGGCCGCTGTCCTCCCCGGGACTCTCCCCCACCCCGCGCCTCGCCCCCGTCCTTCCCCGAGCTGCGGACTCGAATCCTCGCCGCAGGCAGCCAGGCGGCTCGGCGGCTGACGGGTTCAGCGCCGGGGGCGAGGCGGGACGCTGCGACGGCCGCGCTGGGTTCCGCCCCCCAGGTGCGGCGCGGGGACGAGGCCGGCGATTGGTGGATCCGCGGCGAGGGGCGGGACCGTGGAGGGAGCTGCGCCGGCGCGGGCGGAGCGCAACGGAACCTGCGCACGGCTGCGGCACTCCCGGTCCCCGCGAGGCCTAGACTGGGGCCTGGAGTCCGCGGGCGTCGGTGCATCGGGAGCTCTGGAGAAGGGGCTGCCTCTCTGCGGGCCCCAAGCACCCACCTGAGTGCTCGTCCTCGCGTCGTCCCGGGTGCCGCTCGCCCCGGACCCCGCATCGTAGTCACCCTGGGTAGTTCCGCAAACCTCAGGTGCTGCGGCCCAGCTCCAGCCCGGCGCCTTATGTAGAGCGGCTTCCTACAGTCTGGAGGGTGGGGCTGACCTCAGCCTGCCCAGGTTCTGTGGGGGAGGGGCAGGACTGGAAAACCTGCTCTGCATCCCCTCCAGGTGTTTGCCATCCCTTTGGCAGTCAGGAAGATTCTGAATAAAGAGTGCATCCTATTTGGTCCCTGTCCAAAATTAAAAGAGGAGGGTGAGAGGGCGAGGGTGCACGGGATAGGACGGATTGACTACCTCCTGTTTACACGGACAACTTCTCCCGCCCTGAAGCCTCAGATTATTTGGGGCGACTAAAATATCTGTTTATGTTTTTATTTTTATCTTTGAGACAGGGTCTCCCTGTAGCCCTAGCTGGCCTGGAACTCACTATATAGACCAGGTTGGCCTTGACCTCACAGAGATCTGCCTGCCTCTGCCTCCTGAGTGCTGGGATTAAAGACGTGAGCCACCATGCCGGGCTTTATGTTTTTAAAAAAAGTTCTTTTAAGTTTTGCAAAATGTTGTTGAATAGACTTGTGATTTGCATTATTTTAGATTCTGTGGAGCTTTAAGAGAACTCAACCGGCCTCTAGGATTGCACATCTAAGAGTGTATTTGCCTGCATGTGTCTAAGTGCATCCGTGTCCTGCAGTGCCGGCCGAGGTCAGAAGAGGGTTTTGGATCTTCTGGAACTGGAGTTAGGGACAATTGTTAGCCCCCATGGGAGTGCTGAAAGTAGAACCCAGGTCCTCTGCAAGATCAACCAGTGCTCTTAACTACTGAGCCATCTCTCTGGTCCCATATTTACCATTTTTTAAAACTAAGTTTTTCTATAACATGCTAACAATATGACATGTCTGTTATATATTTAATGGTCTAATAGTGGAACATGGGGTTACTCTTAATATTCATACCATTATTTTATACGTTTTCCTTTATGACTTTGTTTTCATTTTGAGGATTTTTTTGTTTCGTTTTGTTTTGTTTTGTTTTTCTTGTTGCAGTAATTGCAGAATAATAACAAGGGCAAGTCAGATTTCAGGTGAGTACAGTGTAAGCACAAGCCAGAATAGGGTATTCATCCCACTTCCTGTGCTGGGAACCTAATTTTGGGCCTCTGCAAGAGCAGTATGCACTCTCCAGCCCCTAACCTTATGAATTTGCCTTTGTGTTTCACACTTAATAATAATCTGTGATTAAACCAGGCCACAATGACGGTGTAGAGAATATATAGCAAAGGAGACATACAAAATTTTTAAGTTTTATTCTTTCAAGTTGTAGGTGAAATCTTTTTAAAAGATACAACCCAAAGTTGATGAAGTGTCAGGGAAACATGCTAATTTGGAATGTGATTTAAAAAAAAAAAAATTCCATCATTTAGCCTGGCACGGTGCCACATGCCTTCAATCCCAGCACTTGAGAGGCAGAGGCAGGCTAATCTTTGTGAGTTCAAAGCCAGCCTGGTCTACATAGGTAGTTCCAGGCCAGCTGGTGCTACAGGGAGACTAAAAGATCAAAGAAAAAAAATCCAAAAAAACTCCATCATTTGTGTTTTAGGAACTCGTCCTCTCCTTGGTGTTCATAATAGTACATATTGGGTCATCGTTCACATAATGATAACTTCTGAGGCCCCAGGATCACCTCACGCTTTTCCTGGTTGTAGTGACCACTATTTGATGCCTTACATTATAGTGTAGTGTCTACGAGTGTTGTCTGTACTGTGGTCTTCACTGTGTAAGCTCTGTGAAGTTAGGAGTAGTTATTTAGCATCTTAATAGTCCCCATCTATAAAATGAGGCTAATAGAACTTCACTTGTGAGGATTAAATGAAAAAACATTTGTAGTGGATTTGTACCTGCCTCATGTAGTTGCCAAATAAATGTCAAGATTTTTTTTCATTTTTGTCAATACTGTAAAATATTTTTATATATTCTAAAATCAAAATTCCAGGAAGTATCTGCTATGAACTGAATTGTGTTTCCCCAAGTTTATATGTTGACCTGTGACTGTTTTTGGAGATAAGGTCTGTAAGGAAGTAATCAAGGTTAAATTAAGTATGAAAGAGGGCCCTAATTGATGGCTGTGTTATAGTAACAAGAAAAGTCCCCTTAAGAAAAAACTGATCAAGAGAATAAAAATCTCTGACCTGGTTGGAGACCCAACATACCAGTTCAACCAGATCACTCAACCCATCCATGGGACCTTCAAAACAGTGAAACTAATTCAGAAAGAGCAGTAAAGGCAAAATCTAGCAGTAGCCTGAGGTTTACTGTCGGGATTGAAGGATTACAGGGTTATAAGAAAGAACTGTCTATAGAAAAAAAAGGAATTCCTAGATCTGTTTTTTTTTTTTTTTTTTTTTTTTTGGTCTTTTTGAGACAGGGTCTCCCTATAGCCCCAGCTGGAACTCACTATGTAGACTAGGCTGGCCTCGAACTCACAGAGATCTGCCTGCCTCTGCCTCCCAAGTGCTGGGATTAAAGGCGTGTGCCATCACGCCCAGCTTGGAATTCCTAGATCTGATAGTATCCTGGAAATATTTTAAGAACCTATTCTAATAATGATGCCATAAAATAGATTTAAAAGACAAACATAAAAAGGTAATTTAAAATTCAGTGAGGAGCTGCAGACATGGCTCCACAGTTAAGAGCACTGATTGCTCTTAGAGAGGACCCAAGTTTAGTTCCCAGCAGCCACGTGACAGCTAACAACCATCTGTAACTCCAGTTCCAGGGGACCTGACACCCTCGTCTGACCTCCCCAGTGCTCAGAATTTAGGCGTATGCCCCCACTCCCAGTTTATGCAGTGCTGGACATCAAACCCAGGGCTTTGTGCTAGGCAAGTACTCTACTGACTGAGCTATATGCTCAACCTTTATGCTCAAGATTTTGGCTTTACTTCATTACAGCATGAACAGAAAAATGCATAGCTTTGATTTCATTGTCAGAGTTGGTCAAAATCTCTCCTTCCAGCGTCCTTTACCCGTAGTGTACTAGAACAAGCATCACCTGTTCTCCCTCTTCTCTCCTTACTCCAGTGCCTACCACAGTTCTCACCAAGCAAGCTCTTGGGATTTTGTGTTGCCCACAGCACTCTCCACCATATGCACATAACCAGGTCACCTCGATGAGGCTAGCCTGTCACCCTGTTGAAAAGTGTATCCTGCCCTGTATATTAAAAAATGGCACTTCCATTCTCAATAGCTCTGCCCATTTTTATCATACCACTTCTAATATATTATTCTTCTGTCTATTGTGGTAATGTTCATTTATGACTCCTGAAATATAAACCAGTAAAAAGTTTTTTTTTTTTCATTTTATTCACTAATGAACCTTGAGTGTCTGAAACTCTTAACACAAATGAGTCTTCAGTAAATGTTTGTTGAAATTCAGTGGACTCTTCAATAACATTTAGTTAATTTTCTCTGTTTAAAAAAAATGTTTAGCCACGTTATGTAATACGTGTTGGAATGTGCTAGCATTACACTATTATGTAAAATCTTTGTGAAGTTCTCAATCTCACCAGGCAAATGTTCTGTCTCCCAGTGAAGTGTGTTGGATATCTGGGGTGACAGTCAGATCTGATCTTTAATTTTGCTTTATCTTAAGTAGCTATACAAAGGTGGTCACATTATTTTACCCCTGTGAACTTTAGTTATGTAATATATAAAAGAAAGAGCTTGATACAAATGAATTCTAAGTTATCTTCTGTCCTAGTTGATTTCTGTTGCTATGATAAAACACTGACCTAAAACTACTTGGGTGGGGAAAGTGTTTATTTGGCTTACAGATTACATTAATTCCATCAAGGGAAGTCAAGGCAGCAACTCATGGCAGAAACCTGGAGGCAGGAACTGAAGAGGAGAACACAGGGGAGCCCACTCCCCTTGGCTTGATCAGTTATCTTACACAGCCCAGGCCCACTTGCCTAGGGGATGGCACTGCCTACAGTGGGCTGTGTGTTCCCTCCTACATCTGTTATAGTAATTTAAATGCCCCACAGACATGGCCACAGGCCAATCTGACAGAGGAATTCCCATAATTGAGGTGCTCTCTTCCCAGGTGACTCCTTTGTGTCAAGTTGACAAAAACTAAGCAGCACACCTTTTTCTATGATACAGTATTTCCTTATCAGTTATGAGCTTGAAGCAAAATAAACTGCAATATTGTATTTTGGTTTTTTGTTGTTTTGTTTTTGAGACAAGATTTCATTTTGTAGTCCAGATAGACATAAACTCCTACTACATAACAACATGTTTTTGGACAGGAACCTTTTCCCCACATTTCAATCCACAGGCTTTAGAATTCAAACTCATACCACCAAATAAGGTCATTTTATGAGGACGCTGGTACAATTTTTTCTTTCAAATGTTATATATTCTTGACTTGCTTTTAACTTCTCTTTTAGTTTAAAAAATTTCCCAATCCATAAAGATTTTATAACATAGTTCTTTTATATGTATGGTATGTATATTTACTACTAATATTGCTTCTTTGCTCTCAAAGGTAAAAGAGGTACTTTTAAAAGACTCTCTTTGCAAGGGGGGGGGGGAAATGTGTTGCTACTGGGAAACCTATGCCCTCCTGCCTACTAGACAAGCACTCTACCACTGAGCTATATTTCA